AACCAAAGCTCAGTAAAGTAGTTTAGGTACTCAGCAGCAAGGTTATGAAGAAATTAAACCAAATTACCAGAAGTGGACTTGAAAAATATGAAGCATAATGGAATTACTCTAAGTACTCCATCACTGAGCAAAATACTAAAATACTAAGGATGAATAAGAGGTTTAAAGAGAAAAAAAAGCAAACAAGGAAAGCACTATACCCTTCCTAACATGAAGGCTATGGTGAAGGGCAACAGTAGACAATAGTACTAACCCAGTTCGGTATTGCAAAACAAAGCTTAAGGATAAGAAGCCTGTTATACCACTGCCAGCCCTAAACTGTTTGCTTAATATTTTTGTCTACATTTGAAACCATTAAATATGAACTAAGCAGGGAAGAAGAAAAAAAAAAAAAAACAGAAAAAAAAAAGAAAGAAAAAAGAAAGAAAGAAAAAAAAAAAAAAGTCTTTCAAATCCAAAGCTAAAGTCAAGGCTGACTAACTGCTTGCTGTTTATCTGTAAAATTCCAAGACAAAACTAAAACCTTTAGGAAGACAAGTCAAGCTATATGGAGTCATAAAAGCTCAATGAAAAGCTCAATGAAATAAATGTGCATTGAACATATAATATTCTCTCAACATGCTAAGAAACCACAATTAAAACCAGATGTGTGAGTGTAAGACTATGAATACTGCTTACAGAGCTGTAGAAAATCAGAAATGCAAGACAGCACCTTCAAGTGTTTTAATTAGATGCAAGCTACTAAATGAGAGCAGGCTTCCATTTAGCAGAGTATCACTTTCCGCACAAAACTTTGAATCTAGACACAAGATAGTCCCAAATTTAAAGTGGTAAACTATCAAAAAAGTATGCAAGAAACTGTATATCCACTATACGCTAAGCAATACTACATCTTTCCATAAGGTCAAAATGAAGGTGAGATGGTGTCTAGTGATCGCCTACTCACACCTGTTCATGAGTCACATAAATGTCCAACTATCAAACATTTTATTTGAAATTTAGTAAGAGACTAATCACTCTATAACCCAGGAGACTGTCGGAGGGAGAGGTAAATATAAAGAAATATGAGAGAACAATAAATCAAGTACTTCCCTTGTTCATGTAATTTTTAAGTCCATATTAATTCTAGAATAACAGGACAGTCTTATCAAAAGAACATGAGCCATCTGGGTATCAATTTATGTACCAAATTCCTTGGTATAACATAACTGTGTAACATAAAAATCTCATTTTATCCTTCAGTGATACCAAGAGACCAACCAGTATTTTTGTCCAAAAACTAGGGGATGGGCAGGGAGATAGGAGGGAGATACAACACAGAAGGAAAGAGGGGAAAAGTCAACAAAAGTAGTAGAAAATGGGAATGGTATTAGCCATCAAAGGCTTCAGAATAAAAGTGTTCCACAAAAATATTTCTGCAAAATTTTTCATTTTCTCTAATAGACAGAATCATATCTAGCTAGAAATCCTAGCTGGAGCCACAGTACACTGAACCTTAAATATTTATGCTGTTTAAACCAACAATGAAGGGAACAGACTTCCTCAGCATGATCCTAAATTTCGGCGGGGGCAGTCTAAAGGGGCCTAAGTGCAATTATAAAGCACATCTCGGTTACCTAATAAAGTGAAAGTTTTCTATTGCGCTTGTGAAGGAGAAGTCCTACATTCATCACTTCTCATTTCTGATCATGTAAACAGTGTAAGTTAAAAGGCAAAAGGCTGGAAAAAGTCTTGTTTTCATAACTTTCTCCTTTTGGAAATGGCAACTTCAATGCAAGCAACCCCCGAACTTCTGCACTGGGAATTTTGATTTATTTCACTGAAAGAATGTGCGAGTTTTAGGAACAACCATGTGGAAATTTTAGTCTTCAGGAAAAAGAAATGACACTGGATAAATACTTATCCATCTCAGGCATAAACTCAGTAATGCTTGTGAGACTATAGATGAAAATTGCAGAGGTTTGGTATGAGTAGTTATAGAATTCTTCCTCTTCAAGTTTTCAAAAACAACAGACAATACAAGATTTTGATTCTTAAATTTATTTTTAGCAGGATGTGTTTACTAATGGATGGTGACATCATTAGAAGATAGGTCCATGTCCACCACCTGCAACAGAAGCTAGACAGATGTTAAAGAAAACAATTGAAGAGTTAAAGATGACACTACTTACCCCAAACATATTTAGGAAAGTCACCTACCGAGCAGTACAGTTAGCTTTTGATGCATATATGACATTATTTACCTGTTATCAAAATTTCCTGTCAAGATTTAGCACATACATTACCTTGCTTTGATGGGAATTAAGCACTTCTGTATCAAAAAAAAACTATTAGACTCTTATTCTTAAAAGGTTAAGAAAGGTGGAAAGACTGGTTAAGCATAATTACTTACCTGTAAATTATCTCCGCAAGATAAAATATCTGCAAATTTAGGTCTAAAGCTTCTATGTAATGCTGAAAGCTACTGAAAATTCTTTAGGAATTACAATTCAAATTGTTAAAAAGGTTAACAGTGGCTAACATTTCTAGATTCACCTAAGAAAACATCCACTTGCTCCTTCCTATACTTGTTTGGTATGGTAAGGAATCAGTAAAGCAGGATCTCAGTATTATACTCACAGATTGGTGATAATAATTCAGGAAGAAATAAAGATTTTCTGTTACAACTGAGAGATCATGTTATACTCAGGAAAGTATCAATAGCCAGAAGCCTAACACAAGAAACAAGCTTGTCTGAAACAAATTAGTTTCACCAAAAATGAAACTTGAACAGCAAAACCTAAGGACAGACAGTTCAGGGAAATACATTCTCAAAGAATTCTGCGACAGGCCCTCTCCCAGTGCTATTACAAATGACAAGTCAATAAGCAATGTGCAATTTGAGCCATGGAATTTCCCAATCTGTAAAAACAGGGAGTCCTTGCTTCATCTACATTTCTTACTCACCAAAATAAATCCTACATGTGCTAAGTCAGCAAGCCCTACAGACAACAACACTAAGACATCCTAATCTTATATTTCAAAACTTCAGAATGTTTATCAGCCTTTACTTCCCAAACAAAAAAGCACTACTGATATTGAGCACGAAGTTACTTTACTCAACACTAATTTAGAAACTTCATTTTAAGGTTCTTGTTTTTTGAAATCTCTTGTCTCTAAGGCCTTTATTAGTAACTGGGTTAACACCATCCTGGCTCATAGTTCTGTATTAGGAAATCATATTTATGCCACACTAATCAGCCTAAAAACATTCTTAGTTGAACAGTGTACTTCAACATCCTAGGACCTCACCTGTTTAAAACAGGCTGCTACACTGAAGACTGTCTCCTACTTTTTAAAGAAAGACCTCAAACTAGTCTGAAAATGAAACTGCGCTATATTAGAATTAAATTCTTTATCAGTTTAAATAATTTAGCCAAGAAACCATGTGAAGGACCATAACAGCCCAGTAATATCTAATTGCTTTCTCTCAGAATTATGAATTCTCTGATCTAGTAATATTGGGAAATTACACTGGTTTGTATTTGTTGAAAACAACCAACAAGGATGGAATCTATTCACACCTGTGCTACTATTTTTAATTTCTTTTAAACTGAGTTCTCTCTTATTTTACAGCAAGGTATATCTGTCTGAAGGACTAAGCCACTGCCTTTTGAGTAACTCACTATCCTGGCAGTCTACCATAACTACACAGGATATACCTGCTGGTAATGAGCTACATAAATAAGTCAGCGCCTCTAGACAACCAGCCTTTCAATGAAACTGTGGGAACTTGTCCTTCAAACCCATTACACAGGCAGCAGGCAGGTAGGGCATGTGATGAAAAGCTTAAGGCTTCCCGTTCTTTAATCTTCGAGGTTCCATTACGCAGTTGGATCAGCTGCAACTGAAATCAGCACTACCATGCATATCATCTATCTTACATGAAGTTGGTTGATATTCCTCCCACAGGATAAACACAGTAAGGTTGATAGGAAGAACCTTCATCAACTGCTCTTCTGTGAGGCATAGAGGAAAGTAAGTCAGGATATAAGAGCAGCTAGGAATGACACAACTGACCTGAGTGATGACTTCAAATACATTATGAACAGTGTTTTCCAGAAAAAAAGCACAACAAAATCTGAATCCAAGTTATGAAGCTAAAGGTAAAGAAACCACTAGGGAAAGAAAATGTTCTTGACAGGCATATATGACGAAACCTGGAGAATAATTGATTTTGGGACCATATATGCATATGCTGCAGTTACAGGGTATCATGATTGTTCAGACATCTCCCCTTCCAAAATCATGCAGCTTCAATTCCATTATTGTAATACCCAAGTTAGCAGTGGGAAGCAATTGACGTGTAATTATGTACATATTCCATGTATGTGGAATGTTCAACAGAAGACTTTACAGTAGTATATGATAGGAAAGAAAAACAGATGACTGGTAACAGCAAGGAACAGAATAACTTAAGGGATCATTTGCTAATAACGAGCTGTTCACCCTGTATCCTTCTTTTATTATAATCTGTCTGGTCGTGCTGGTGTTAGTACTGATAACCAGCTTTGTTAGAGGCTGTAGAAGCTATAAGTACATTTCCCTAGGTTTAATGGATGCTTGAGTCAGGTTAAAAAGTGGTGCTGAAAACTTGAATTAAATTACTATCCTTCAGCAAATACGTAACTAAGACTTACAACAATGAATGAAAAGAGCATGGAAAGAAAAGGACATTGCAGAATTAAGCTTGTAACACCAGGGATAAGACTTTCTATCTGCACTACTAAAACTAAGTCTGTAGGTATGACCAAGATAGAATAGCTAAAAAAGAAGAAAGAGCTGGTTTAGTAGGTTTCGAACACTAGAATCAAATAATGTGCTACTAATGTGCTGGAAGCAAAGACATAACAGTGGCAAAAAAGTATTTCTCTTTGGAGAGAAAAGTTGTTCAGGCTAACTAAAAACATTTGCAAGAACAAGCTTTACTGAAGAAGAGACTAAAACAAAACATTACGCACTTCCAACTTATGTTCTTTCTCTGCAAGGAACTCTTTTTGACATCGGAGAAAGTCTGATAACATTCGAGTTAGCTGTTTTCTATCATCTATTTCAGCTGCCAACCTGCCATTGTAATCCGCCAGCAACATACATGCATCATCTACCATTTTGGAAAGTTGCTCTCCAGATTCTTTATCTAAAAAGCAAGCAGAGAAAAACACAGAAAGCGTGATTCCATTACGTACCATTATGTTCTTAGAAGAGCATTTTGGTTACCAAGCTCCCAACCCTCACCTGTTATTCTGTCTAACAGGGACACATCCTGGACCTCTAGAGGCAAGGAAGCTATTCTCTGGTGAACTGCTGCATCCCCAGAGGCAGCATTTTCTAGTTCTTGTAATGCTCTAATGAGATCTGTGGTCTGAAAAAAGCATGCAAGATTGAGAACTAGTTTAAATAAACAGATCCTAGAACAAAACAGAAGTATTTTACAACAAACTTACAGTATCGATTTGATGGTAATTTTAGAAGCATTTACAATATCACCTCTAGAGTCAAACAAAACAAAACCGAACCTTTAATCTCAGCACAACATTGCAGTGTTTCTAGTTTTAAAGGTCACCTTTCTACAAGAGCTTTTTCATTTAAATTCGTGGTATAGGAATACTTATAAACCTTTTCTTCTTGACAGTAGTGATTATTATACAGTACCTTTCATTTTTTTTTACATTTTTTAAAATTACTTTCCTTGCTGTTTTGCTTCACTATTGCAAAAGACTGTGCACTTCTTCTGGAAGTAGGGCTGATATTCACAGAAGCCCAGATAGCTGCTACAGAGAAACATACTAAATTGTGATGACTTGAGGACAGTAGTTCTTTGCTATAACAAAAATCCTTTTGAGACAGAGCAATAACGCAACAAAACCCCACAAGAATTAGAAGAGCTGTAACAGTACAAGGCAGACAAGAATTTTTCACAGCCATTGTGAGTGAAACTTTGGGAAATGTTTTATCAATAAATCCGTAACAATCTTACACTCTAGTAGTGTTCCTACTACCCTGAAAACTGAGTAAGAACTAAATACATTGTAGAAACTACTGCTGAAATCCTGACATGAATAAAGCTGGACATACAGTTCAAACATTCGGGTTTAGTGTCTAAGTAAATACTTAAAGTTACAGCATACCCTGCTGAAAAATTATTATAAAAAGTTCTTTATAAAAACTAATTATAAAAAGTTTTAGGTGCAGCCACCCTTCCCCAGAAGCAGTACTTCACTGAAAAACAGAGACAATTCAAAAAAAAAGAAGAGTAACAGAAACATTCTATATTAAACCATATGTAAATAGATAATTTTATAAACATGCTTTTACCTGAGGAGGATCAGTGGGAGAACTTCGAGGTGAACAGTTATTTTCATCCACTTTGATCTGTTCATATGTGCGCTTCCTCACCTTTCTGTCTCCATCTAAATGAAAACAAACACAGCAGTCAGGGAAGTACTATTTCAAACAGGAGACTGAACCTTCATACACTCACAGAATACTTACACAAAGCTTGCCTAAGTTGTTCTAATACATCGTTTTCATAAACAGACCTTTCTTCCCAGATAGACAACACTCGGCCAAGGTGTTTCTTACAACTCTCATCAGACTCACTGTTACAAGGGAAAAAAGCAAATATCAGCACTAGGTAGAAGTATAGCACTGCTTCATAATTATTTTTCACAAAAAGAGCTTCACAGATTTAGCAATATCCAAGCATCAGAAGTCAAATAATCTCAGAAAATAACAAATTCACATTTTAAAGAAAGCAAAAACCAGCTCAATGTGCTCTAGCAAGCAGATGACAAAAAAAAAGGGGCAACACCCAACTCTGGTTTTTTTTCAACCCATAAATCTGCAAACACTACAAATAGTCTTATGCTGCTTCAACAGCTGTGTATCGTTGTGAAAATAATCCTGTATCAAGACTCTAGTTTCCTCATGCAATGACATTAGAGGCTGCTGGGGAAAAACAAATCATGCAACACCCAGTAATGAAAAATGTCAAACTGTTGTACCACATAAACACAGTCAGTAAGCAAGTCTTACATTCAGGAAGAGCTAACAGCCTTCCAAGGCAAAAAGGGAGGGAATGCTGATGAATTTACTACAACAGCAGTAAGACTATTCAAGATCACAAGAACACTGAATAAATGAAACAAGATTTCAAGTACAGAAATAGCACATGAAGACTAGCTGGGCCAGAAGACATCAACTGAAATGCCCCTCACATGCAGTGTGAAGGACACTGCACATACAAGTTTACTGTACCTTGAAACATGCTTAAAAGCCTCCACTATTACTGGAGCAAAGTCTTTTGTAAATTCTGGTCCTTTCCTTTTGCTGTTCTGTATGACATCATTGGCCAAGTACAGGAATGTCAGCTTCCTATTTGGTTTTGCTAATAAAAAGAAAAACAATAAATAATTAGAAATTCTATTTCCTTCAACTAATACCTATATATCTAGGTTCATACTGAATACAAACACCCACACCCTGAAATAAAGTATGTTTTCCCCATTTTCATTACTGCTTACACCATTTCACATTTCAAGTATTTTCATGTAAAAGACTTTATTTACTCATTGGGTTTTCTCTCCCTTCTGCTCTTTGTTCAAGTTCTTCTTCCTTCACAGTATGACACAACTTTCATTAATACTATCTCAAAAAACAAACAGAAAAAATCCCCAGATATTCCGAAGTGCTCTTCATCCCCAAACTATTTTCAGGCATTTTCCTGAGCCTTTTATGATTCCTGTTTGGCGGTCTTCATGGATTTCTTCCAAGTACTTCCAAGCCTGCTCAAATTTCTTACACTCATGAAGTCTTCTGTTGAGGCACTTCACAGATCCACAATCATTCATGTGAACAAGCTCCTCCTTTTCAGTCTGAATTTCATTCAGTCTTACATAACCACTCCTCATTATCACATTTAAGCAAACTGAACAGCCAATCCCTAGTCAGTGTCTTTGTATCACTGTGACACTCCCTCACCTCCAAATTGTTAAAACACTCATGTCAGCAGCTGTAATAGCACAAAAATGTTTTCAAAAACCACTTTCAAGCTCATGTGGTGTATCTCTTCTCCAAGCACCTTAAACGTCTTGTACCACCTCTCTTAATGAGCAAAAGACTACACATTTCCAATTTACAAATCACTTCTCAAAATCTGTTCCATGTTTTCTACGTGCTCCTACCTGGGTATTTTCACTTACACTTCATCTAATCTTCATTAGTCTATAAGTTTCTTGGAGCTGAAACTCTTATTGTAATATATCTATCCTTGGTTAACACCAGAATACCATTACCACCACATAATCTCAATATGTACACTCTGATTTTAAAAAGAGGTTTCTCCTGAAAGACAAGTTTTTTCTGCTCTCTCAAGGAAAGCAGCACTGTGATAACAACAATCCAGGATTTCTTATGATTTGCACACGCAAATATGATTTGATTTTGTTACTTTCTACTCCATCCTCTCAAAAATGCAGAACTACCACACTCACATATAAAGAGAAAAGTCAATGTTAATATGCTTTCACTCTAGGGAAATGCTTTTGAGAATAAATTTTGCATTCCAGAAATGGAAGACTTCTCTGAAGGATTTCACCTTGAAATACTGAATTCTTCCCCTCTTGAACAAACATATCTAACAAGTTGTGAGTTCTGGATTGACTGTGGAAAAAACCCTCTGTTAAATGTAAAAATGCACTTTGCTTACAGTCAAGATAAACTAAAGAGTAGGAAACAAAAACAAATTAGCTAGGAAGTGTTGGACACAAGGTGTACTCTATTAAGAGTCTGCTTCAGTGAAGTCACTACATGCGAGCACCCAGGAAATTAATCTATTTTGGTCAAAATCCGGCTAATCTACAATGTAGGTTTTATAAACTTGTGCTGCTCAATTTCTATATTAAAATCTGATGATAAAACAACACATCACTTATGTTTCACGTAAATCAGAGTTCTGACACCTAACAAGTTTTGAATTATTCAAAGCAAGAAGGTCAGAAAACACGTTGTTTCACAGGCATAATCAAAAAGTAACTAGTGTTTACCAAAGATAGCCCAGCCCCCTCTCTCAGTCCTTAAATAAGCCCAGAATTAGGACTCAAAATCTAATGAAGCAAGTTGTTCCCCCCGCCATCCTATATCCTCTGGAACTGCACGCAGGACAGGCCTTTGCCCATCCATTTCGCCAGGAAAAAAAATCTCATTTTTTAATCCTCAGTCATGTAACCCATTTGTGAGAGACTCTAATTTCCTTCTTTCCAATAAACAGCCAAACCAATTGGGCTGGCAAAGACATGAGATGGATATGCAGTGACATGAAGTCAGGTAATGCTGACTCTCACAAAGCCTTGACTTTATCTATTAAATACAGTAAAAGATTGATGTATCATATTTGGTAAAAGCATCCTTTCAGGCTTCTTTCTCAAAGTATGACATTTTCAGCTCCTCCTACAATTCAACACAAACAAAGCTGCGCAGAATGAACAAAAATCCTAGACCCACCATTAAGCTATCTCTGCCTTTGGTTGACAACTCAACTAATGTTCTACCCTTATTATTCACAAAGAAAATTGTGAAGTAAAGTTTAATTCCTCTTGCTGTAACAACGTGCTGCACAAAATTCCAAAGGCAAAAATTATGCCTAGTCGTGAGAAGTACTCCCTCTCCCTTCACAAATCTTCAAGATTTACATACTGGTCTACTGGCACTCTGCCTTACACATGAGACTGAAGTGCAATGTCACCTCTGGCAACTGAGGCTGACACTTGAGCTGAAAACATTCTACTGCTAGCATAACTATATCAACTAGTGATGTCTGAAACACAAATTAAATTCAGGATCAAATAGATCTGCTCTCAAGAAAGAACTATGTTTAAAGTGTCTCTCTTCAGCAGCATCTTCAGTAGCAGTGACACCAATTCTCCAGCCTGGGGCACTGATAAACCTTGGAACATCAAAATGGAACAAACAGGCAATTTTTGAAGGTCCTCAACACATGGCAAGGCTAGTAACAAAAGCCTTCTTACTGTTAGAAGTAAATGATGGGAGAAGACCTGTAAGAACCTAGACTGAAGAAGGATCTGAAAGGCACACACTGCCAGAATGTACAGTGTTAGAAGTAGCCATCTCTGTACCAACAGTACGCTCTGCAAACACAGAACTGCCAAGAAATCATGTGTGTTGGATTGAGTCATCTTTTCAGAAGCTCTGTGCAGTGTTCATGTAACTCCTCCGCTTGTTGCGACTAGATTCACCATTTAGCCACCAAAGTAGCTCCCTGAAGCACTGGATTCTGAAATATTTCAATATGTCAACAGTGCTGGTTGGTATAAGAGCCATACTATGCATATTACTCTTAAAGCATCTTCGATGAGACTACAGGGGATTAGCACCTTGCAAATGAAACTATGTCTGTACCAAAAATGTATCTGACATGTTTAAATGCCAATGAATATTCTTCAAGATAACAATGATATTTCACCAACAATGAGCATACTGAGATATCTGCAGTGGAGACAACATTATCAAGTCTTAAGTTTTTGGCAATCCATTCTTCTCAGGAATGCATTCCTGCTAGCCCTGTCAGGGATGCCTGGTTCTCTAATAGTTCAGTACCAATGCCTGACATTATTTGCTTTAATCCATAAGACTTGGAGAACTGTTAACACTGACAAGCCACCACTTTAGTGCAAGTAACCAGTATTTTACCCTGAAAGACAATAAATCAGTCACTTTCACCGAGGTTAGCCTTGGCAATCGAAGTCAGCATCATCACCTGAATTTGTCTTCTCCAGGTTTACCTCCTGCATGTCAAATTGAGCTCCCATGAAGATTGCTAGAAACATGCCCATTAGTTTCATGCTGTTTTACACCTAGAGCCAAGAGATACTTGCTGTCATAAACATACTATGACATATATATACTATACTAGAAGAAACTACAGAAAACCACACAAGCATAAGAGATTTCACTTGCATCCCACTACAAGCGTATAGACTGACTGAGCCATCTGGAAATGTTACATTAGGCCGTGGCTTTCTACAGGCCAACTCTGCTGTGTCAACTGACCTTGAAAGAAAATACCACTTAACAAAGGGTTGGAGACAATAAGCATCAATATGTTCTCTAATATGGATTTAAATAAAGACTTTGCTAAATTGCTTTTGAATTACTTTAATCAATACATATGCAGGAGAATTTATAAGTGACACCACTTCTCCCAAAATCCCTGGGACACTTTCTTACAGCACACTTCACACCTTTGCAAGAGGAGCTCATGACTTCTCTGTAAATACCTGACAAGCTTTCAAGCTTTTTATTACAAGACCAAACATTGTTAAGTTAAGCAGCACTGAAACTTGAGTGAAATATCACTGATACTTCACACTGCAGAGAGCTAACATGGGTTTTCATACAAGCTGATTAAGCAGAGGATCTTTGGTAATATGACTCTAAAAAGCCACTTGAGAGGCTGCCATCAGAAAAGACAATTCAAAGATAACACAATCCATAAAAGGCATGCTGCAACAACAAGCACTTAACCTTAAAATTCATTAGCCTTCTACTAAGAAAAGGTTAAACTAAGCACTCCACCTTGTGCAATTACCAAGGTTTGATAATTGCAGTGGTTTTTTTTGAAAGAAGGAAATGGGATTGCCCATTGAATGTGTTCAAGGTTCGAGGGTCCAAGTATTTTGACTGGGTTTGGAGACTGGTTTTGGGAACACAACACACAGCCACTGCTGGGAATAAGGCCCTTAGCATCAAATTACCACAGGGATGCCAGAAAGCTGGTCACAGAGCAAGGAAACCATTCCAACATAATTACTCTGCAGAAGCTTTCCACTGCACTTAGTGCATCCTGAATTACCTGAACATATGAAACAAACCAATTCCTTTCATTGCCTCACCTAGCTGGTAAAGTTCCAAGATGGATATAAGTCAACTGCAACAACAGCTTCAGGACAGTAAAAAGACCCTACACTTCAGAACCAGAATGGTGAAGGACACACAGGTACAGGTGACATGCATGTTTGGACTAGACAACCCAAATATAATTGCTATAAATGGAAGGCTCTCATATTGCTACTCTGCTGCTCCTAACCGCAGATCATTTTGGAAATCATGTACACAGCAAATAAGTTTCCTTAACTAGACTCAATAACACCCATTCATCTGAAGTTTCGCTTGTCTGTTGCTCTCCAAACCTTTTGGCATGGATGTCTCAACCAGGATGTGGGCCTAACCAGTGAAATCCAAAAGCCATAGTTTTGCTTCTCTTAAATAAAATAAACCGAAATTATTTATTCTCTCACATAGGACAATGACACTATACCACCACTAAGTACAATCACCAGAAAAGAAAGATTCCTTCTCCTATCAGAAAAAACTACACCGCATGGTACAGAAAGCAATTGCTTTAAACCAGGAACTTGTTTCCTGTGATCCACTTCCCATCTGCAAGGCAATCACTTTTGGCTATAGTTGTGCTCCAAAACAGCTAAGTATTAGAGTAGTTCAGATGTAGTACAACTTTCAAATCTGCTTTAAGTGTTGTGAAGCCTTCTCAATTTACTTACTAAAATCCTTTATCTTCCAAATTTCAGCAGCTGCCACAACAGCTACTAGCTTCAGAAAAACATATTTCATCAATGCCAACAGCTATACTGGATGAGGACCCAAGCATCAGCCTATGACCCAGTGGCAGAAGCTGTAGACAAACCATAAATAATCAAAAAAACCCATGTAGCTTCTTATACCGTGAAAGACTTCAACACCAAGAAAAAACAAACCCAAAAAAGCATAATAAATTGGAACAGCAGGTGAACTGGCAGAGTCAAGCACTACAAATACATCTCCCTGTAACAGCCCAGATGTACCTACACAACTGTGACTCTACTAAGGGCAATACACAATGGCTCTACTGACCTAGATAAACTGTGCAGGGAAGACAGTGATCAGTGTGACATGGTGGGGTGATAGATGAAAGCCCAAACAAGAGGTCAAGTGATTAAGGAGGATGGGGGATGATCACCATCAGTTTCTGTTACTGACTAATCATTGAGATGCTGCATTGGGCCCTGAAGAAACAAGATACTTGAATCTGGAAGTAGGTTTAAAAATACAACACAATAGTGTCCTGTGCAGGGCTAAGACTTGAACATGACGATACATGTGGGTCCCTTCCAACTCAGAGTATCCTGTGCTTACTAAAATATCACTAAGAAATAAATCCTTAGCAAGTGACAGAGCTGAACTTGGAAAAGCTAACACAAATAAGGTGACAGGAAAAGATTCTTATGGACAACTAATTGGAACTCAAAATAACAAGTCCCATATTACAAACTTTTAGCAATTTTGGGTTTTTTCCATTGAAAAAGAACATATTTTAACCAAGTACAGCAAATTACACATTGAGCCTACTGAACAAGCAGTTACTGTTCACCCTTGAAGGCAGACACTTTGAATTACAAAACTGAAATTTTCCATTTCAAAAAATGAACAAACACATAGCAAACCTGTACAGCTGCAGAGCGTCCTGAAACCAGGGAGCAAGAGATGTATGCAAGAGAACATACCTGACTTGCAAATAAAAAATACATTCTCAACAGACTCCATCTCAGAACAGCCTATTCAAAGGTGTTTCTTCCTAAGGAGTCTCCCAGCAGCCATTCAGTGACTGCAGGATTACACAACAAATGTGTATGTTATGCCACTACTCAATTTAAAATAAACCCTATAAGTAATTCTCTTTGTGGACACACAAAACCACAGGTTTAAATGGGCCCACCAGTTGTCTCTTTAAAATGACTGAGGTAATCACAAGTTAATTAATTAGTATTACTTAACTACTTAAATACTGAATAAGCTTATGACTACTGAGTAATTAACTATTTAACTTTAAGAGTTACATTTCGTACCTCTGCAATTTAGCTGAAGTACGATCATTTCCCTCGATACACACTTTTCAAGAAAACCTGTATATGAAGGTGTACTGAACTGATGATCCATAAGAATGTCAGAATATGGGACCTAACCACTGCCAATTAATCGAAGTAAACAGAAAGGCACTAACATTTTATGCTGTCTAAATTATATGCAGATTTGAAAAGCTATCTTTTCACCTCTACTCCAACGTGGCATAAAGAAAAAGATTATTTTATATATAAAAGAATCAGAACCAAACATTTAGGAAAGAAAGAGCTCCGACCTTAGGACTGGTCTTTATGAATAGCTAGAGACATGTTCAGAAAGGCTCATGCAAGCTCATCTGACATGAATAATCTTTTGCCAAAACTGAAAGCATCCAGAAAAAACGTGATATTGTACTGTGTTCAACCCAACTAGTTATACAATATTCCTGAAAAGCAGTAGGCTGGAAGGAAGGAAGGTCTGGAGACAGGGCTAACAATAAAAAAGGGGATACAATGAAAGGAAATAAAATCTAGAAAGGCAAGGTTCAATTTTCAGTTCCAGGACACTACTGGCTAAAAATAGCAGCTAACAATGTCAATAATTTTGATATCCACATTCCCCAAATAGCGGTAATTTTGCTCTCAGGTAGGAGAGAAATCATGTTTCTATAGCTTCAATGACAGTCAAGTCAGGAGCCTTAAACTTACTCTAGTTATGGCCTCATTGCCAATATCCTACTTTGTGCACTCGCTTCACCACGGACAGTTTTACTCTCATGCTTCCCAGGCTGTCTGCTTAGATCACTACTTCCACCTTTGGGGATTAGGCACCATCTTACAAACTGTGCAGCAATTAGCCAGAAGTTAGTATCAGGTAAATGCAAGCTAACATTTATGAAGCTTGGATATTATAAGAGATGGAAAATTAAAATACATCCTGTGTATATTAACTATGGGAGTTTCAAATTAAGCTTCCTATTTTCCAACATGAAACACTTCACATAGGCCTAAAAGACCAGAAGGGTCAGGACCTTGAAAGCAACTAAGCTATTCCTAGCACAGGTAGAGTTTCACGTGCTTTCCACAGACACTTGAAGGTTTGCATCCGAAGAGAGGTCACAGCAAAATCTTACTTTGAAGCAGTAAAAGCAGGACAAACACTTCAACAAACAAAGCAAACCAAATTATGGCAGCTACTCTCACCAAAAGCTCAAAAGAAGGTTGTTATCTTGCCTCTTAATGCCACTTTCAGACATGTAGCCCAGGTTTCAAAGATTTCATTTCTCCAGTTAGTCAACCACCAAAAGTGGAAAATTAAAGTTAAGGACTGCCCATTAATATCACAGATTACTATGAACTATTGTGCATGATTATTAAAACGAGCAACCAAAACTCTGTGTCTATTTCAAGTCGTTTAAGATACCTTCCTGGTATCATTCAAAACCCCTAACATTCGTGTTGTTTGATTAGAAGGCCCAGACATGTGAAATGTTTCAGACACAGGTGGAAGATCCATTAATTTGCTCCTGGAACAAAAAAAGAAAGCCTGCAACTAACACAATGAAAATGTGTTTGTGTCCTAAGATGGAATATTGCCCCCAACTCAGTTTTTCTGCAGTTAGTACAAAAAAGAATTCAACTCATGCCTCAAAGTTCTAAAGATAACAAATCCCAGAAAAAAAAATTTAAACAATACCACAGTAGCCATATTACACAAAACTCAGTGGTTCCTTCTTCTCTCTTAAGTCCTGTAATGGCTTAGTGCTGTTTTTCTGCTCAGTCTGAAAGACTGTGACTTCTATTTTTCCCATTAAAGATCTACATATTAGTGAAGCTCCAAAAGAAGCTACTGGAAAACAGCATCATTTCGTAGTTTGAAGCAGAGTTGCAGCAAGTGAGTTTTCTTTTCTTAAATGAACCAACTTAACAAGAAGTTATTATCCAGTCAGGTCAAATAAAGCATCCTATGCCATTTCTCCCTTTCACTCCCTGAACTACTGCCTATACCTGCAAGTGCTTTCCTGTTAAAGGGAAAGCCACATTAGCATTTAAGTCTGCACGCTGATCATTGCTAAAGAAACTCATGCTTTTATTATATTAATATTGGTATTAACTATCTGGCAAAACTAGGAAGTAAAAATCACTTCGGATACATTACACTGCTCTTCCCTCAGTATATTCCCATCCTCATCTGCCCTTCAAGAACAGTTTCTGGAAAAAAAAAAAACAACCTGAGCAGACATGGAATTCAACTAGTATTACAGCTAACCTCACTACAGACGATGAAAAGTAATACCTAAAAAGGCTCTGTCTTAAAAGAGCTGTAATATTAACAACAAAAAGCCCTGGCAAGCCGGATTCCTTCCGGTTTCCCACTTCCCTTTCTCCTTCAAAAGGGGAGATAAAATACAAGAGGCAGCCTCCTCGGAGACATCACATTATAGGTAGAAGGAAAAATGCGAAGGAAAAGAGAGGAGCGAGTAGAAGAAAAAAATGAGGGAGAAGCACCTGCCAGCCCACGGTCATCGAGAAACGCAGACCCGACGTTTAACGCTGGCCGAACAGTTCGGCTCTCGCCGGGCGCTCAGGCCTATCCCGTCTCCCCGGCCCCGCAGGCCGCGCAGCTCCGGCGCTCCCCCCTTCCCTCCTTCCCTCCTTCCCTCCCTGCCTGCCCCGGGCAGCCGCCTCCGGCTCCGCCGTCCGCCCGGACCCGCCGCCCCGGGGCGCCTCCCGCGGGCCCTGCCCGGCCCCGGGCTCACCCTTGCGCAGCTCCCGCTCCCACACGCTGACGATGAGCGCCGAGTGCTTGCGGTGGTGGATGAGCCACAGGCTCAGGGTCTGCACGCTCTGCTGCGAGTTGCTCAGCTCCGACAGCTTCCGCTCCAGCGCCGCCTCCGAGAACGCCGACATCGCTGCACCGCCTTGGGCCCCGCCGCTCCGTCCCGGCCCGGCCCGGCCGGGCCGCGCTCAGTCCCCGCCTCTCGGCGCGGCTGAGGGAGGAGCCGAGGAGCGATTCCCAGCGATTCCCAGCCCTTCTCGCCCCGGCGGCAGCGCCCGGCGCCAACAAAATGGCGGCGGCCGAGGCGCGCGGGGAGGCGCGCGGCCCCGCCCCCTTCCGCGCCTGCGCTCACTTCCGGCCGGGCGCGAGCGGCGCGCGAAGCTTGCTCGGGGTCTGTGCGGGACCGAGTGCCTCAGTGTGGGGTCAGCACCGCCCTGCCCTGGGAAATAACATAAAAATGCAATGCAAATCTGCCCCCAGAACGCACCCCGAGCCTAACAGCTTCTTTCACCCAGCAGGTTAAGAATAACAGAATCATTATGGTTGGAAAGGACCTCTGGAGATCATCCAGTCCAACCCCCCGCCAAGGCAGGGTCACCTGGAGCAAGTTAGACAGGAATGTTGCCCAGGTGGGTTTGGAATGGCTCCAGAAGGGGAGACTATATGAGCTCCCTGGGCAGCCTGTTCCAGTGCTCTGCAACCCTCTCCAAAAAGCAGCTCTTCCTCAGGTGGGGTGGAACTTCCTGTGTTTTAGTTTATGGTCGTTGCTCCTTGTCCTGTCATAGGTGCCACTGAAAAGACTTTGAGACCAAACTCTTGGTACTTGCTTTTGAGATATTTGTCTGTATTGATGAGATCCCCTCTCAGCTTTCTCTTGTCCAGACTAAACATCCCCAGCTCCCTCAGTCTCACCTCATTAGAGAGACGCCCCAGACCCCAAATCATCTTTGTGGCTTCCACTGGACCCTCTCCAGCTTCTCATCTTCCTTGTGCTGAGGAGCCCAGAACTGGACACAGCACTCCAGATGTGCCTCACTAGGGCCGAGTAGAGAGGCAGGATCACCTCCCTCCACCTACTGGCAATGTTCTTCCCAATGACCAGAGGATCCCAGTGGCCTCCTGGTGCTGGCTTATGGTCAACCTGTCTGACCAAGACTCCCAGGTCCTTCCCAGCAGAGCTCCTCTCCAGTGCTGGTACTGGGGGGTATTCCTCCCCAGGCGCTTACTGTGACACTGGGTGTATGACATTTCACATCTGCGGGTAGATACATACTCCAAAAAAGTGCCTGGCCTCTTTTCTAAAAGCTGTCTGTTTGTTTTTGGGTTTTTTTCTGGTTTTTTTTTTTTTTTACTTTCTGGCATTAACAGTATCATGTGACAGAATTCCACTGTTCACTAACAAGATTATGTGCAAAAAATGCTTAATCTTTGTTGTTTCAAACCTGTTGCCTTACAGCTTTATTGCATTCTTGCTACTTCTGCTAATTTGCAGAACTATAAATTTATTTTAAAAAATTATTGTCTGCTTACCTTTATATTCTTTTCTAAATTTTCTACGGTGTCATCTTCAGTCATTTTTTAAGGATTCTCCAAACAGGGAAGGTACTCTGTGCTACTTAACATGATGTGAGCATTTCTAGCCTTCCCTGCTGTCCATCTGAAAAACACTTGACATAATTTATTACTTTAAACATTACCAAGTGGCTGACAATTTCATAGAGCTATCCACCTTAACTCCTACATGTATAACCTGAATCCTCTTTCTGTGGCTAATAATTATGACTGTAGTTGTCAGTATTTTTCATTTTTCTATAAAATTGCATGTGTATTAAATAGAAAAATATTCATACATTTATATGTCCTTACTCTTAGGACATCCAGTTAGACAATGGCTAGCTACCCATCCTTATAATGGAGCATTCCTATAACCTTTTACACATCCAATTTGTCCTCATCAAAGAGAACACTATTTATGAGGAAAAATATTTGTTGAGAATTTTAAAGAATCACAGAGTGGGTCAAGTTGAAGGGACCACAGTGGATCACCTGGTCTAACCTCCCTGCTCAAGCAGGGTTATCCCTAAAACATGACACAGGATTGTGTCTGGACAGTTCTTGAGTATCTCTGATGAGGCAGACCCCACACCCTCTCTGGGCACTCAGTTCCTGTGCTCAGTCACCTGCACAGTAAAGAAATTCTTCCTCATATCCAGGTGGAACTTTCTGGACATCAGTTTCTGCCAGTTTGCTCTTATCCTGGTACTCAGCACCACTGAGCTGAGCCTGAATCCACCTTTTTGGCACCCTCCCTTTGGATACTTACTGATATTGATGAGGTACCCTCTCAGTTGTCTCTTCTTGAAGCTGAACAGGCCAAGTTCTCTCTGCCATTCCTCATAAGAAAGATGTTCCAGTCCCTCAGTCACCTTTGTCACCCTCTGCTGGACCTGCTACAGGACCTACATGTCTCTCTTGTCCTGAGGAGCCCAGAACTGGACACGGCACTCCAGATGTGGCCTCACCGGGGATAAGTAGAGGGGCAGGATCACCTCCCTCCACCTGCTGGCAATGCTCTTCCTAATGCACCCCAAGATCCCAGTGGCCTCTTGGCTACAAGAGCACTGCTGGCTCATGGACAGCTTGTTGTCTGCCAGGCCCCCCAGGTCCTTTTCCACAGAGCTGCTTTCCAGCAGCTCAGCCCCCAGCCTGTCCTGGTGCAGGGGAGGATCCTGCATTTGCCTTAGTTGAATTTCAGACAGTTCCTCTCTGCCCATCTCTCCTGCTGAGGTCCTTCTGAAGGGCTGCACAGCCCTCTGGGGTATTGTCCACTCATTACAGCTTTTATTTTTAAAAATTTCATAAAGGTATATCCCTATTTCATATCTGACTTTCAGAGAAGGTGTCCCAGTGGATTGGTTTTGGGCAATTTTCCTAATATTTGTTCTCAGTGAAATCTTCCCTTTAAACACAAAACTTTGGTGAGGGTGAGGTGGGAGTATTAGGAGGTTTTAATATTAATTGTATTTACAAAATCATCCATAGAATGAGTGATTTTGGGGGAACTAGAAAGGATTTTGCAAAAATTCTTTTGACAGAGAAAGTTAAATAAGTTGTACAGATCCCTACAGAGTTTCTTATTCACTGCCTTTTGATCACCATGGATGAAATTATCTGTAACATACTGCTATTTTTGCTATGTACAGCAGAGGACACTCTGGCATTAAATGGAACTGACCAGTGAAGTAAAATTAAGACAGAGCTAGCAAGCCCATTAGAAAAAACGGAATATGAATAGTAGTCTAGTAACCAACACCCAAAGAGCATTTCTTGGAGTCATATATATTCTGATGTTAGCAGGAGAAACTTTTGAGCAACTATGGAAAAAGAGCTATTTCTTTCACACCTAAGACTAGAAAGTATGCAGCAACAAACAATAAAATTTACATGGTAAATCCAATTTAAAAAAGGAAGAAAAGGAAAAAAAGAGAATTTTAGTAATGTTTGTAAAAATATTTATTACTCCTTCCTCTGCATCTTCCCAGATTATCAGAACATTTTACCAAAAAAATCCTCTGAGATTTGTATTTTTTAAAATAAATATATTTGAATGCCAAGAGATTTACTTTCTGTGTTATATACTGTATAATAAACTAAACTGCAAAATAGAGATTTCACCTTTCCCATAAATTTTTGTAACACATTTTAAATTTGTAATATTGAGTGTTTCCATCAGTAATCTAATTTAAAATCTATGCTTTATCCAGTCAGTGAATAGAAATTTGCCACGAGACTTCCTCAAAGCAAAGTGACTCTCGGGCAGGAAGCATGCACAATGGAAGGTTCATTTGTTGCAGAGCTTGAAAAACCTCAGCTTTCATTCAGAAACAAGTCATACATTATTCACCTGCCTTGAAAATTTCACCCACACCCACAGGGGCGGAGCTGTCAACAGATGTCGAGTTTTCTTCCGCCCATTCCTGTGTTCAGACCCCAATAGCATCTTCTCCCTGAATTCCTACGAACAAAGTTCTGTACCGCTTCCCTTCTGTCTAGGTAGTCTGCTGTGTTCTCCCACTGAGGGAGAAAGAAGCCACATGCAAGTGTAAGACAATAACTATGAATAAATTACTCATTTGATGCTTTTGTAGAACATGGTACTGGGATGCTCTAGGTAGTTCAAAGATGTAATTACAGTCACCAAGCAGCTATACAGCACACTTACTTTACATGCAAGTTGCAGGTTTTTCTCATCCTTAGTATTATTCTATGCTTCGCTGGAGTTTTTTTTTGAACCCTTATTTTACAGTACTACATAGAGCAGTAAAACAATCTGTGTATATACTGGTTTTCTAAACATTGCTCATCAGCTATGTGGGATTTGAGTTAAAACCAGCTCTTGCACCAGAACAGGTCAGATCTTTCTCTGTATGAGTCTGGCCTTTTCTCATTTTAAACTTTGTTTTATATCTCTTTCTCAAATAGTCTCACCCAGGAGATGCAATAATATTAAAGAAAAAATGAAATTTCTCTAGTCATGTTTCCTGTCTGAGAATTTGTATTAGTCAGCACAGCAATCACCACTTGGATCTCAAAAAAACTACACTGGCAGAGCAGTTTTTTTTTAATCTTCCAAGTGTCTGGACCACCAACTGTAACCATTTTTGAAGTTTCATACTTAAAAATATTTTTCCACCTTTCACATATGTTTGTGCATCTCACAGCCCCATTCTGCATAAATGTTCATACTTCCTTACCCCGATAATAACATGAAAAATGGAGATATGCAGAAACGAGACTGAAGTATAGCTGTAAAGTGTTTCTTGACTGAGTGATGGTAATTCATCTGGGTAATTTATTCAGAAGCACTAAGTCCCATTTTTTAACCTGAGTAACAAGAGGACATTTCCCTGACAGAAATTATAAATAAATGCATCCATTTATTAAAAAAAAAAAAAAAAGGCACCAAAAAACAGAACCTCCCAAATGCAAACACTGAGAAGTCCTGCAGGAGGAGAACAAAAGAAAGCTTAAATGGAAGGAGGAAGCCTTCTGAAGTAGCTTAAAGGAGCTGCCTACTGGAGTCAAAAACCCCAGGGTGATTAATCATGCTTTTACATGAGTTCCTGCCACTAAGCACTTCACCTTTTAATATAATTCATTGAAGATAGAAATTATTTGCTATTTAGGAGATTAGCAAAAACCACTCTCTGAGATATGCATATATGATCCAGCAAAGCATGCCCATATATTGTGGTGAAAGATAGATTGAACAATCTGAAAAAATATGTCCAGCATTTCTGTGTTTTCTTTGGCCCTCTGTGGAAATG